TTATGGACAAAAATGGCAAAAGCAAATTTATTTGCAAAACAACTCTCGAATGTCATTATATTTGAAGAATCTTTTACAATAAGTATTTCTATTCTTCTTGCTATTTATTGGAAAATACTTCTTCTCTTTCGTCGTCATCTTGTACCTGCATTACAACATCAATATTTGAAAATTGAAGATCTTGCAAAACTTTGGAAGTATCTTAAATCCAAGTTTGATCATTAAAAGACCATTTTCTTTCTACATGCACATCATAATTGGACACATTTATGTGTCTTGGATTTTCCAAATTTAAATGCTTTCAATAGTAAAATATATAGTATTATCTCACAATTATAATTATATGGACAAAGCATCTCTGAAGAAGAAATGATTGAAAAAACTCTCTCTACATTTCTTCCTATATTTGTTGTACTTGCACAATAATATAGGAACATGAAATTTTAGAGTCATTCTAATCTCATGTCTTATCTACTTCTTATAGAGAAGCAAAATGAGCTACTCTTGTGTAATGCGGAAGCTCATCCTATTGGAACCATAGTTCCAAAATCTCATGCACTTAATATTTCAAAGTCCAAGAAAAAATTATATAAACATGGAAAACGTGCTCATAAGTATCAGAGTAGTCATAGTCATAACCATTTCTATCCATATGGAAAGAATAAACATTCTACTATTAATTATAGTAAAAAATAAAAATCAGAGATGTGCTCTTGTCATAAGTATAGAATGATTGGATATTTAGCACATATGTGCCGTACTTCAAAATATTTTATTAAAATATTCAAAAAAAATAAGAAACTACAAGCTAAGGCTTGTGAGGTTTATACCATGGATGCATCGATGGATTCAATTGGTATTGATGACTTAGAGGCTTATATGAATGACAAAACCTCTAATGATGAATCAAATGATGCGTTCATTGATTTTGCAACAATACATATTATTCTGCGGAATAGATGATTTTTTATTGAAAAATCTTCAACTTGGTAAATTAAAAATATGATGACCATGGCTGAAATAAATGTATTTTATTTCGAAGAGGGCATAGTGATGGTAAAGTTACCTGCAGGTTCTATCATAAAATATAAATATGCAATGTTTACACTCTTAGCACCTCAGAGTCTGATCAGCTACCGAGATGTGCATATCAATGGTTATCACTTCTTGACTGCCATTTTAAATAAAAAAGAGGTTTTGATTCTTGCAAAGAACCATAAATTTGTTGAAAAAGCTTTTGCTATAGAAAATGGTTTATACCAAATTATAATTTGACCTCCCATTATATTTAATTTTACATTATCTATTACAAAGAGTCATGCTTCTCTCTAGCAGGGATGATTGGAACATCCAAAATCTATATTATTTAGAATGATCATTCTATGTATAACTGAGCACAATTTAAAACCTTCGGATGTAGACTCTATCGAATTATGGCGTGCATGTGTGCAAGGTAAGATGATTACTCAGCCTTTAATTTGGAAACTCCCACAAGAATTACGACCAATGCTTGAAAGATTGCATGGTGATATTTGTGGTCCTATTAATCCAATATCGGGACCATTTTGTTATTTTTTGGTCCTTGTTGATGCATCATGTAAACAATCACATTTTTTATTATTATCAATTCAAAATATGGTGTTTGTCAATCTTATATCTATGATTATTCATTTTTGGGCACATTTTCTTAATTATCCTATAAAAACATTGCATATGAATAATGCAAAAGAATTTGTATTAAAGTCTTTTGAAGGCTATTGTACTGCAACATGAATTGAGTTGACATATTGTGTTCCATATAAACATGCTCAAAATAGACTTGCAGAGTCATTTATAAAGCGTATACAACTCATTACCCAGCCACTCCTCCTTTATGTAAATTTACCTGCATCTATATGGGATCATGCAATTTTACATGCTGCAGCATTAATATACCTCAGCCCTTCTTTTCTTAAAATTATTTCACCACATGAGCTTATTTTGGATCATGTTCCAAATGTATCTTACTTACGAGTATTTGATTGTCGTGCTTGGATTTGAATACTAGAACCTCAATGGCGTACCATTGGAACTCATCGACAAGAAGACATATATGTTGGTTTTGATTCATTAAGCATTATTCATATTGTTGATTCATCAACTGACACATTATTATATGTATGTCTGCAAAATTTCCATTTTGAGAAAAACATATTTCCATCTCTTCAAAAAAAAAGTATCCAATCAACAAAGAAATAAAGTACTTGTATTTAAAGCACCATAAACATTTATAATGAATCTTGATCCTAAGACATCTTTGGCAAAAATTGAAGTTGCTAAGATTTTGTATCTAAAACAGATCATAGATGAAATACATGATGGCTTCAATGATGCACCTAAAATTACAAGAGTTCCTATTAATGAGGCTCACAATGCACCTGCTCAAATTACAGTGCCATTATCTATAATACTTCAAGTTATAACAATAACAACAACTAAAAGAACTCATGGACCAGATAAACAACTATGTAAGAAGAAAGCTTTAATATTGACTAATCCTAGTATTATTTCTCAAGAAATTGCCATTCATCGTGCAGGACTACGAATTCATGATGATATATCTATGCATAATGTATATTCAATTCCTATGAAAAACAATCTTGGAATTAGAAAGAATAAGAATAAGTTGAGTAAAGAATTATCTATTCTATATTGTGCTACAAATGATATTTGGGACATACCATCTATTATGGTAGATGAATCATTTGCAAGTATGATTATAGAAGCCCTTTCCTGCAAGGAAGACGATCCTGAACCTCAAACCATCGAAGAGGCAATGCGTCACTCTGATTAGTCAAAATGAAAAACTACTATTGAGGAGGAATTTGCCTCTTTGTATAAGAGGAAAGTCTTTGGTCCAATTGTAGACACTCTTACATCTCGCCCTATGAGATATAAGATGGTATTAATATGCAAGTGAGATGCTCAAGGTCAAATAATCTGCTACAAAGCTCATCTTGTTGCTTAAGAATTTATTCAACGATTTGGCATTGATTATGAATCCATATATTCTCCAGTCATAGATTCAATTACATTTCAATATATTATTGGAATGGCAGTTTATGCCACCTTTGAGATGCATTTGATGGATGTCGTAACTGCATATTTATATGATTCTCTTGATGCAAATATTTATATGAGAGTTCTACCTGGCTTAGAAATAGGAACTCCAAATAGACCTACTCTAAGACAATATCATAGTATTAAATTATATAAGGCCTTGTATGGTTTAAAACAATCCAAATACATGTGGTATCAACGTCTTTGAGATTATTTAATTACAAATAAATTTGTAAGTGATCCATTAATCCCTTGTTTGTTTATCGAACGAGATAAAACTGGTTTTGTAATCATTGTTGTATATGTTGATAATCTTAACCTAGTGGGCACTAAATCTGCATGTGTTGCAGCTATTAACCTACTTATACGTGAATTTGAGATGAAAATGCTAAGAAAAATAACTTTTTGCCTTGGTCTTCAGATTAAGCATCTCACAGATGGTAGCATTTTTTTTTACCAACTAACATATATTAGACAAATCTTACGAAGATTTAGTATGATTGATGCTTATCCATTATCCACACCAATGGCTAGACATGGTCGTAATGGTCATGATCCATACCGTCCATGCGAGGAGGAGGAAGAAATATTGGGAGATGAATATCCATATCTCGCAGCAGTTTGAGTACTTTTATATTTAGCTACATCTATAAGACCAAATATTGTATTTGCAATTAGTGTTCTTGCAAGACATAGTGCGTGTCCAACACTACAACATTAGAATGACATCAAACATTTATTATGTTATTTAAAAGGTACTGAAGACTTAGGATTATACTACTTACAATTTGCAGATCTAAAATTGGTTGGATATTGTGATGTGAGATATAAATTTGATACTACAATAGCTAAATCTCAAATATGATATGCATTTTTAAGACATAGAGCTATAATATTATGGAATCAATGAAACAAACAATAATTGCAACTTCATGCAACCATGTAAAAATTATTGCCTTACATGAAGCATCTCGAGAATGTATTTGGTTGCGATCAATTGAGAAATTCATATAAACCACTTGTGGATTTTCATATGATGATTCTCCAACTTTCTTGCATGAAGATAATAGTGCTTGTATTACACAAATGCAAGTTGGTTTCATTAAAGACGACAGAACAAAGCATATTGATCCAAAGTATTTTAATTATATCCATGACTTGATTACTAATCAAGCACTTATAATTAAGAAAATTGAATCTGCAAATAATCTTGTTGATCTCTTCACCAAAGCTCTCCCATTAAGCAACCATCATCGACTTACTTATGGCATTGGTATGCGAAGACTTGCTTTTCTTGAATAATAAAGTTAATGAACTCTTTAAATAATTAAAGAAAATAATGTTGTACTCTTTTTCCTTCATCTATGGTTTTGTCCTTAAATATAATAAGGTTTTCCTAGATAAGGTTTTAATGAAGCAACAATTGTTGATCTTGTAAGATTACATATATTATATAAATATTATGATGAGTGAGGAAGAGTGTTGAGAGCATTAAATGTAGCTGGTGCTCTCCATAATATTTACTGTAGTCTATAATAAATACTATAGCTATACTATTTGGAATGTAGTGGAGAGGAACTATTTATCCTCTCCTCTTCTCTTCTTGTATACAAGACACATCCAAATTAATAGATTTTTGGGTGAAGCTCTATCTCTCTCCTTAGAAACTTTCTTGTGTGTGTGTATTACTTACTACTACTCATGTGTCTTTCTAAACATTCTCAACAAAAACAAAAACCCACGTTGAAGGGGAACCCTAATTAGGCCAAGTGTTACGGAATGCCAGAATGGTAATAGGGGCCGAGGGAGCGACGTGACAGTATTTGTGATGGGTGACCGTGGATTCGAGGAGGAGTGGCGCAGTCAACACGGCTCTGTGTTGTGCCAGACCCACACCTTCTTCGCCACTTCCAGGCCACTCGGTCCCCGTCGCCACCCGATTCTCCTCCGCCTGGCACCTCCATGACTGCATTTTGCTTTCTGGGAGATTTCCGGCCTAATTGGCAGTTTTTGCGGTAGCTTTTACCCAATTCTTGCCCGGTTTTGGACACACTTGGCACTCATTTTCTCATGCGGTGGGGAAGTTTCCAGAGACTGGTGTGTTGGGTTTGCGAGAGGAGCTGGGAGCTTGCGACGGGCTGATTGCAGTGGGGGAGTGGAAGATCTCTCGCGGGAAACTGGACAGGGTTTGAGTGATTCAATTTCGTTGGAGCAATTCTCAGGGATTGATTCTGAGCGGGAGCCGTGGTGTGAGGTTTGTAAAGGAGGGGGTGGTTGGAGTTGATCGTTCAGGCTGAGGTTGGCACGAGCGTGTTGTTCTTAAGGATTTGGCTGCAATCTGTGGCGAAGGGTGTATCTGCCAGGGTCCGCAGACATGGTGCATTTCCTCTGGCCAAGCAGATGTTTCTGTATCTCACGAGTTGTGTTTTTATTTTTTGTTGGGTTTTTATTTGTTTGGTTGTTTGTTTCGTTGGGGGCAAGGGGGACTTATTTCGGGCTTTGCATGTAGATGGGTTGTCTGTTGTAGGAGACTAGGCTTCTCCAGATGGTTGAGTTCCTAATTATTTCTTAGTGTACTTAAGTCGATCGAATTGTGACGAGGAAATTGGAATTAGCAGCGTCTGAGGTTGCTTGAGAAGTTGGGAAGAGAAGTCTGCTCAGTCGGTTAGTGGCGATGAGAATTTTTTCTTGTTGGATCACCATCTCGCACCTCGTGTAGAGTTTCTCCGTGAGGTGGGGCACCATTAGCAGTGTACCATGGTTGTCTTCGGACTCTCGCTAATTATTTCGCAAGCTATCTTCCCAGCTTGTGTTCTCTCAAGACGGTAATCCTGTTCGATTGTAATTGCTAGGACGTATACTCCACGGTCAATTTCTGCTTGTATTGTTTCTTCCAACTCGTTAGCGCGTGTTCGTGTGGAAGTTGGATTGCAATCTTCAGGAACTGCTCTTCTTCTTAATTTAGCAGATTTCTGAAGGGAAGTATTTGCGCAGGCGATGGCACCTAAAACGATTCGTAAAGCAGTGCGTGGTCTGAAGGACACGAACAGCATTGTTATTGCTAAGGTTGGGGTGAGCGGCACAAAAGCCCCTGAACTCGACGTTGCACTCGTGAAGGCGACGAGTCACGATGATTACTTTGACGAGAAGTATGTCCAAGATATTTTTAACCTAACATCGAATTCCCGTGGCTACGTGAATGCATGCGCCAGGAAACTGGCCAAGAGGTTAGCCAAGACTCGCGATTGGAATGTGGCATTGAAAGGCCTCATGCTCACTCATCGTCTTCTCCGGGATGGTGACCCGAGCTTCGAAGACGAGCTGATACATGCGTCTCAGCATGGCCATCGCATTCTCAATCTCTCAGATTTTCGGGATGAAACACATTCAAATGCCTGGGATTACTCCGCTTTTGTTCGAAGCTACGGTTTGTTCCTAGACGAGCGGTTGGATTCCTCGATACAAGTCTCAGGGAAGAGGCACAACCGGCGGGGTAGAGGGGAGATGCGAGGGAGGAGAAGATCCGCTTACAGCAAATCTCCCGTGAGGTCGAGATATGGAGGTTCCCCAAGTCGGAGCTCTCGTTCTCGCTACGGCGGCTCGCCTGATTCTCAAGGGTATGTTTACAGTGATGACCGGCGTCACAGCAATTATGATGGTGGATTGTCACCCCGGTACAAGCAAAAATCTGGACGGAGAGATGATTTTGACGAGAATGAAGAAAACAATGACGATGATGATGTGCCAGTCAAGGAGATGACTTACAATCAGGTGCTGGTGAAACTTCCTGCTATGCAGAGATTAATGGGACGTGTGCTAAGATGCAGACCCGCAGGCGCCGCAAAGACAAACCGCTTAATCAACCAAGCTCTGTACCTCGTTATCACTGAAAGCATTCAGCTCTACAGGGATTTGTCTGATGGTTGCGCTGTTCTTCTGGAAGCTTTCTTCGACATGGAGCAGAAAGATAGGGCTAAAGCCTTCGAAATCTATTACACCTTTGCCAAACAAGGCGACGAGCTATACGAGCTACACAAGCAGTGCAAGTATCACGGCGTTGGTCGGTCTTCTGAATACATCGACATTGAGCCTGTGGCGATGGAGCAGCTCGCGAGTCTAGAAGAGTACCTAAGGTCCAATGCGCCGGACCGAAACAGAAGTAAAAGTCCCCAGCCTGCGCCTCTGCAACTCGAGTACAAACCTGAAACCCCTGAGCCGGCACCGGAGCCTGAAGCTCGCCCAGCTTCTCCTTCTCCACCTCCAGTGCAAGAGGCTCCTGCTGTTGTCGCCGAACCGCAGCCAGCGCCGACACCATCTCCAGAACCTGTTGGAGGTAATCTCAAAATTTACAATTAAGCTCTTTCGTGTTCTGTCGCCCTTCTCTATTTCAACTCATCAGCATCATCCTTGTGCTTCACCAGTCCCGATACTGACACCAAATTTCGCCCTCATCTTGCAGATTTACTGGACCTCGACAAAGCAACAATCTCTGCCGAAGACCAAAGCAACAAATTCGCTTTGGCACTGTTTTCGACGTCCTCAACCGCAACTACTACGGACACCTGGGAGAGTTTTGACAACTCCAAAGATCATCAAAGTGCTCTTCAAAAATTCGACGCCGCGGAGTCTGGCAAAGCGGGATGGGAGCTTGCCTTGGTAGCGTCTGCGAGCGACATCTCAAAGCCCCTTCCTCCCAACCGTCCCATGGCCGGTGGGTTCGACCCCTTGCTCTTGGACAGCATGTACAGCCACGGGGAGGTTATCCAGAAACAGGCAGCCAGCGCTGTTCCGTCAGGAAGCGCAAGCAGCGTCGCCATTCCGAACCGACCTCAGTCGTCCTTCTTGGCGTTACCTGCTCCTCCTGGAGGAATGCCATTACCGGTTAACGGGGAGGATCCATTCTCTGCCTCCACCATGATTCCCCCACCTCCGTATGTGCAGATGGCAGACTTGACTACAAAGCAAGAGCTGCTCACTCAGGAGCAGATCATGTGGCAACGCTACCAGATGGAAGGGATGCGTGGCGAGGCCAGCTTCATGAAACTGTTCAGCAATCCATACGCTGCAATGCCTGCCCCGAATCCTACGATGTACCAAAATCCTTATCAGGTCGGCATGCCCGTCGGAACCTATCAATTCCGGTGATGAGTTGAATTGCAGCTGCGGCAACTAGTAAATTTTGCCACTGACCGACGTATTATTCTCGTATTCATTTACCTGTACATTGTGAAGAACGATTTAGCTCACTCTTGCTCCTTGGAGCCTGTAGGCACTATTCTTTTATAGTAGGAATGATGTTTGATTGCGTGTTGGAAGCGGAAAGACGGTTTCTGTGCTCCCCTTCATTGCCCTTAGATTTTTTGAAGGACTTGCAATGGTTTTTTGTGTTGGTTCCATTGTCCGTCACGGTGCAATCGATTTCAACTTGGCACCGTGGCGGGGTAAATCTCTCAGAAAAAAACGATGGAATGATTACCCAGCTACCAATTCAGCTTTGTTTCCAGAATTGCGTTCCTCGAGTTGTTCCTGTTGATGTCTCTCCTGATCTGGTAAATTTTCTCTGACAGTCCACTTCAACCTATTCACTCACCTTCTTTGACAGCAGGGCACTTCAGGATCAACAAAACGAGGAATAGCTTTGAATGCGTCTCAAGCTCAACAGTTACATCTATCAATGTCGATTACCCTATGTGGATTTAATCTCTAACAGATCAACACATATTAGTGGATATTCCTTTAGGTGAACATGTGAAGCATTAGCGTTTCCTACATGCTTGATTGTTCTGGAGGCATTGGAAGCTGACCTAAGCAGCCTGAGCACAAATCCACTTCATGGTGAAAAGAGAAGGATCAGAAACACTCTTAGTTTTAAACAAGCATTGTGTGGGAGGGCACGATGACACTTCGGAGCGTTAGGTTGCACAGTGCGAAGTTACTTCAAGAGTGGTTGATTCAAACACATTTTGTCCTTGAGTGTTATTGAATGTTCAATCGGAGTGGGGTGAGCAGAGTTAATAGTCAGATCTGATCCTTCCTGTTCCACACGTTTAACGTGATAGGAGGGCCCTTTACAGTGGAACAACAGCACAAATTAGGGTTTTTTTTACCAATGTGAAAATTGTTTGTCCCGCAAAGGAAGTAACTTGTCCGTACAAGGTTAGTAAAGAAGGATGGCTTAGTACACAAAGGCTCTCAAGTCGCGTCTGGCCCATGCTCCAATGGCACCCATTGTTTGATAGGAAGGGCGGAAGGCAGAATGAGTGCACCATGGTGAAAGAATGGAGCCAAAACTAGTAGCAACTACATCCAACTTGGATAAATTTGCCTCCATCAATCCTACCCGTGCAATTCTAGGTGAAAGTCTACTTCTTGATTAATGGAATATTCCAGTAATCAAGGTTAGGCTTGATGAGAAAAAGGTGAAAGTTGAAATGAAATATTTATAAAAGTGAGTTGTCATAGCATACTTTGTTGGAGGTTGGCCCTCAACAAAGAGTGGATAGGGCAATTGAAAACAATGGTATAAGATGTACATTTAGGGCATGGATTCTTTGAAGTGACAAGCAATGATAAAATCACGTGTCAAGGACAAGAACTCGATGAAAGCTAAAGAGTAAGTGAGACTTTTCTCAAAAAAGAAATAGGACAAAATAGAAATATGTATATTAAGAAAGAAACTGGAATGGCTATTGCCAAAATACAAGAAAACTAGAGACCCTTGAAACTAGACTAGAAGCAAGAAAGGAGTTGACAAGAGTGAAGAAGCCTTCACTCTTGTCTCTATATATACTATCTAACTAGGGGCTACGTGGCGACGTTCTATAGGACCTCCAATATGTGTTGACTTTGTAGGACACATGCCTTGACTTACAAGGCAAGTTTTTCTACGTGTGGGCCACATATTTAGCTTGATCTTCAAGCTAACAACATGTGTGGCACATGGCCAACTTGTTGACCACGTTTCTAATCCAAAAAGTCAATTAAAGACACCTATGAAGTCAAAGCAGCGTCTAGGAAGTTTCTAGGAAGCTTCTATATTAAATATTATACAATTAACTTACTTTTATCTACTTTTACTTACTTCTACCTATTTCTATATGTAATTATTAGCTTATATGATTATGGCCGTGACATCACGTCACAAAAATTACTCCAAATCTTGTACATCTCACAGTAAGGTACATGCATCTTCTAATCGTGGATGGCAAGGTATAATTCAAGCCATTCCATAGGCATGAAGATGTCAATGTAAATAACACTTAAGTTGGTCTTAGATGAGCTTGTTAGTAGTGTGCAAGAGATCTCCTAATGCCATGGAACACTTGGAGAAAGCGAATAATTAGAAATGTTGACTAGTGTTATTTAATCTGCTTAGAAAAAAAATTGTAAAATAATGCTTGATCAATTTTAAGAGTGTAATTCTCAAGCCCTAGCATTGAAGTGGGATATTTATCTTCTTCATTTTCTCATTCCAAAGGTCAAATAATAAACAAATAGAGGTCAAAGAGGTAGTAGTAACATATTTTATGTTGCCTATATAAAGAACAAGCAATGACTACGAGATATCACATATAGTAGTAATAATCAAAGAGTCAAATTTATGCAATTTATACCATCATGGATTCAGTATATATTTGCATATACGATACTTAGGCATTTCAACAAGATGAGTTGTTTGTGGCTATTAATTTGAAGAATATTCATGTATGGTGATTTTGATCAAAAGAAACAATGTTGTATTTAATGGCATCATTTAGCTAGAAGAACAAGTATTTTATTGCATTTGATTGCAATTGGTAGATTTTGATAGAAACACTTGTTTCAAAATACAAAAAGATATATAGCATAGACTATTCCAAGCAACAACCTTTGTTCAAAATTTTTGGCAATTATGGTATACAAATATGGTGTTAGTAATATTGCAAGTAAACAAATCTAAGTAGAAATTATTGTGGCCTAAGAATAATGTAGATATATATGTAAAAATAATATATATAATAATGATAGAATAATATAAGATCTATATATATATATATATATCTCTTATTTTTTGAATATGATGTTGGAACACTTACTTCATAGATTCAGCCTAACACACCATGATTCCTCTTAATTATTGGAATAGAAGACTACAAAGAGTTTTTTAACTCAAAGCTCTACAAAGCCATGGAAACTAAATGCCACAAAACATTAATTATCTATCAATTTAATACTCTTTCATCTTAAGTCTATTAAGAGTATTTAGTCTTAATATTTTTGAGTAACTAAATATCATGTATTATTGAATTTTCAGAATCAAATATCATAGATCACTCAAAATATTACCTTTGTAAATATTACCATTCAAACTTTATCACTCTCTTTAAGTTTTTGAAGTATCACTTAATATTTCAATGATTTAAAAAAGTCAAGGTAATTAAAGCAAAGGAAAGACAATCAAGACAAATGGAAGACAATTAAAGAAAGTAAAGAAGTTTTTGCTAATTTATCAATCTTTCTTTTTATATTTGGATTTCAAAATCATCTACCTTGTAAGATGGATTATTTTGAAGTATTAAGTGATATTTCAAAATATTATGTGATACTTTGAGATATCATCATTGATTAAACATCATATAAAAATCTTAAATTTGAATCCCCTTATTTACATCACATGCCTATTTTGTAAGATGGATTCAACTTGCTTCTACCAAAGTCTAGAGATCAAATCATATCAAGTTGTTTTCAACAAAAAGAATCTAATCAACATATTTATACTTGCAATTTATATAATTAACAGAGGAGGTGAATTCAAAACTTGAAATTAGTTGAAATCAAGTTTCACTTTGTTGCTTTTATACTTAAAACAAATGGTTAGAAAGACATAAAAGAAATATACTAGGTGGACTATATTTTTTCATACATGGTGTGTATAATGTTATTTTTTAGAATTTGTAATAAGTACACATTAAAAAGATAGTTTTATAAAAACAATTAATTTTTTTTGTTAAAATTTACTAAAAACAACTTATATATTTAGGATTATATTTTTCAAAAGTATTAAAATTAAGATATGAATTGACATGTAAAGAATTAAAACAAAAAAAATTATAATTATAATCATGGTATCTTTTTATTTTATATTATTTTAAAGATTGAATTTTTTAAATATATATATATATATATATATATATATATATATGGAATAAAAAATATTTTTAAGTCTTAAATACAATAATATTTCAAGATAACCTTATAGATATAAAGTCAACATTGACTTCTTTTTTTATATTTAATATAAATTCGATAAATTTGTAAAATTTTACTCAACTTATAAATTATTTTTATAAGATAATTGATACATAAGCTTTCAATGTAGGATTCTAAAATATTAATATGAAGGTGTCATGGACATACATTGGAAGATTCTTCGAATATTCTTCTAGAATATTCTCTAAAGATTCCTTTAGAAGGTTCTAGAAGATTCTTAGAATATTCCCTAAAGATTCTCTTAGAAGGTTCTAGAATATTCTGATAGATTCTAGGAAGTTGCTCGAGAAGTTTCCTAATTAGTAGAAGTTGTTGGAGAAGCGTCCTAGTTAGTGGAAGTAGCTCGAGAAGCTTCCTATTCAGTAGTATATATAGGAGTCTGAAGGGTTCTTCAGTCTCGACAACACATCTCTTGGAGTTCTAGTTCACCTTTCTGGTGTTGTTCTTGTACTCATCTGTTTAATCTAGTTCAGCCACTTCTTCTTGAACTTCTTGTTAGATTTCAAGTCTGTATTTTGTGTCCGTGACAGTTTGTCGAAACTGCATTTTCACTGGTATCAGAGCTAGTTCCTTCTTGTTAGAGAGTGGATTACCCCTCTTCTTGAAGGTGTGCTAGTGTTTTAGAGGTTGCGGATTACCCTCCTCTAAACTGATATCTCTTCTTTCTCAATATTGGAGCCTTATTCTTCTTGGAGAGAGTGGATTACCCCTCATCTTGGAGTCTTAAGGCGTTTTAGAGGTTGCGGAGTACTCTCCTCTGAACCAATATTGTCCTCTTGTCAAAATTCTTTTTTCTTCTTTCTGAAGGTTAGCCGAAGGTTAAGACGTTAAAATGGCTGAAAGTTTGGAATCCAAACTAGACGCCATCATAAATGCTCTTGCCTCGTTGTCACATAGGACAACAGAGATCGAAGGAGTCATGGTAGGACTCCATAACAATGGGGCATCTGGGATAGTGCCATCTAAAGCATATCAGCCTCAAACTTCTGCACGAGAAGAAGCAGTTCTACATCCATTTCAACAAGATCGAGTAGTCCTACAACGAAAGGAGCCTCGAGTTAGTCTTCCGGATAAGTTTGATGGAACTCGTTCCAAGTTTCGAGGTTTTGTCAACCAAATCAGGTTGATAACAATTTTACAGCCCGAACGTTATCCGACGGAGGAAGCGCGTGTTGGGCTTGTTGGAACCTTGCTTACAGCACAAGCTCTGTCTTGGTTTACTCCCTTGTTCGAGAAGCGATCGCCAATCTTGAGCAA